CGACTCGTCAGATGGTTAGGCGTCTTCCTCCAGTTCTCTTGTCTCCCGGGCGTCACGACGGGGAGCGTCGTTTCGCCGGTATTGGGCGAGCCTCCCTCCCTTGATAAGGGTTTCGATGGCGTCCTTGGGGTGGACGCAGTCTTCAGTCAGATGACCATGGCTCCTATGGTACTGACAGTACTTGCTCTTGTCTGCTCCGGGCTTGGCGGGGGCAGGTCGGGGGCGTTTGACACCGCCGTCTTTAAAATCCGTGTTGGCACACTCTGCCAAAATGCGCTCGCGGGAAGCTGTGAGCGGAGTGTATTCGGTAAAACGCCCCGAGGGTCCTCTTTGCTCTCGGGCTTCTCGGGGTCTGTCCTCTTTTCTTTTCTCCCCGATTCGTCGAGGAGGAGAGGCTTCCTGGCGTGGGTTGCTGCTGGATCCGCGAGTTCTGGGATCCCGGGCTCTGTTGGCCGCCTCCCTTTCCTCGTAATCCATATATGCCCGGGCTTTTTCGAGGAGGGCATCGAATATTCGGGGTGGCTCGATGCCTACTGCCTTTCTGAATTCTGTGCCGGGGAGAAGCCCCCTCTCCAGCAAATACCTTTTCATGTGGTCCGTGCAGGTGACCTGTATGGCTTCGCGATTGAAGCGATTAATAAACTCTCTCAAGGTTTCGTCCTGTCTCTGGATGATGGCCTCGAGAGCCGCCTCGGTCTTTGGGTGTCGCCGAGACGCAGTGAACGAACTTATGAATTGGTTCTTCAGGTTTCGCCACGAGGTGATTGATGTCGGAGCGAGGCCTTTATACCAATCCATTGCTTCCTTTCTGAGGGTCGTGGGGAATAGCTGACACTTGATGGGTCCCCCGATGTTGTGGTAGTGCAGCATAGCCTCGAACCCGTCTATGTGGTCGACCCGGTCCGCGACTCCGTCGTATTCCTTCAGATGTGGAGGCTTCTCCATGCCAGGGGGGAATGGGCGCCTCCATGATGGCTTGTGACAGGGGACCGCGGGGGTCGTCCTCGTCACTTCGCTCCGGGGACAGGGATGGGGACCTGTAATATTGTCGAGCCTGACGGTCCTGGTCGTGCTGGGTATCCCTCTAGCGTGGTGCTCGTTGGTTGATTCTTCTGTGTCCGTCTCCAGAGTGTCTTCTTTCTTGCCGTATAGGGTCGTGGCCGCGTCCCCCAACCTTAATGACGGATTGCCTCTCCAAAGGGGGTCGTCTTCCGAGGGTCGGGGTGACGGGCTTCGGGAGGTGTCTCTGTATTGTCTCTGCGGGGGAGACGGGAGATATACCTCTGTCACTCGAGGAGGTGGAGTCTGGGGCCTCCTGTGTCTCCTCGCGGTTCTTCGATCGTCTTCTAGTGCCCTCAATCTTTCCCCCTGGGCGAAGATGAGGTAATTCATCTGATTGATCGCTGCAAATAGTGCGCGGGTTGTGGCATCTGCCCCGGCGGGGACAGGGACTTCCTGAAATTGGGCAGCTCGATGGCTTGTGGGAGTTGTGTTGTCTTCTTCGAGCGGCGGAGGGACTGAAGAGGATGAGGCAGTAACTCCGTCGCGGTGGACTGAGGGCCCGGGGTTGGCGCCCCCGGGGAGTGTGTTATGACAGGGGTTACCGGTGTTGTCGGGGAGTCCATTTTTGTCTGCGAGGCCGTTGTTGATGTCGACGACGCGGATGTTTTGGTCATCCCGAACTTGGTCATCCATGAAGGTAGGAAGTGATATTGAGCTTTGGTCTTCGAGGTTTTGCAAGACGGGGAAGCTAGATTCCCACAGACGGCGCCACTGATCTTACCTGATCCGACTTGGACCGTTACGACTGGCTCCGAGCAGAAATTGAGTGAGATGGGGGGGGGGGTACCTGCAAGGCACTCCGATGCTAAAATGAGTGACGGAATGAGCAGGCAAAAGAGTGTATGTATGAGTAAGAGATGAATACCTGACCCTCTAGGAACAAAGGGTATTTATAGCCCCCAGCGCGGGGCTAAGGTCCCCTCATTGGGCCGACTAGAACTGGCTCAATAAAGGAACTGCCAGGTTCTACGTGTGTAGTGGAGACCTGCACGTGGTCTCCTTCCTGGTGATGCTCGGCGAGAAATGAGGAGGGACGAAGACGCGGTCTTTCCGGAGTTCAGGTGATTTGGTAACGGTCAGAATCTGCCCTACGAGGAGGGTGCTCGAGCTGGAGTTCTCGTGGTCGGGGACACCATGTTCGCGGGCAACGGCGGGCATGGCTGCAGTCTGTGGTCAGGCGCGCTGGAGGGAATCCTCGCGCACGCGCTCCTTGAGGAGTTGCTTGGATTGGGCCTTCGTTCTTGCTTTTGGGCCAGGGCGGGCCCAGTCCAGAACAATTATCCACTTGTACTTATCAGAAAATGAAAAACAACGATCCAGATTAAATAAAATCGGTATGGATGTAGCAGTTTTAAAATTTTACACTAAAGACAAGAAATATAATTTGAACTTAAGAAAACAACCAAAAGATGGAACTCATATTTACTTTGTCGAGAGTCTTGGTCAAATTTATCAAGACTTCGTGAGTTAGTTTGTTACTCATTGCCAACTCTATTTTATTTTGTTCCTTAAGTCTTAAAATAATTGTTACTTTGACAGTTCCAGCTTTGGAAAGAATTGTATACAGTACATGTTCAATAAACCAAATTGAGAATGAAGATGTTGTGAAATCTGTTCTGCCTATAGCCGAGTCGTATGGATTCCAACTGGCAAAGTCATTCCCCGATTTGAAGCAGTGATAGATATTATTGCTCCAAATCTCTCGTCTCTCGAATATTCTTGCAATGGTTATCCAGTATACCCATTCTACATTCAGGCTCATATGATATCCCATCTTAGCTACAGATGTAGGAAAATTATTAGATTTCTTCTGTTGGATATATTTAAAAATGTAACAACAATTGTGTTGGATGGAATTCATGAATGTCTTCAATCTTTTGTCATGCCGTATTTGTTTAAAGAATGCCACCAACTTGAGGACGTCACATTTAAAAGTTGTTCTATTAGAGAAATTATCTATTCAAAATTGCGTCATTTGAAGATAATTCATTGTTGTTTTGGAGATTTTACTCCTGAAAAGATATCCATTGATGCATTAAACCTCTCATCATTTGAATTCATTGGTCACACAGCAAGTAAATTTTCAGTTTTGGCACCAAAGTTATCGTAGGTTTTTTTGAGTGCAACTATAAGAGAATAATCAAAATGAATTTGGTCCACTCCCAGAATTACATCAGATTGAAAATCTAGCTATAGACACGAACTATTCACATGTGAGTAATGCATATTATATGACTGCATAGGTTTCTTCTAAATGATTCAATCACCTGTTGTTTTTAATTTACTTCAATATTACTCGTATGCAGCAGCAAAATTAACGAAGGTCTTTGATGGACTTTAAAATCTTGGACAACTGGAGTTATTTATCAAGAAACCATATGATTCTAATATAGAATACTTTTTTATTTCTAACATTTTAATGGCAGCTCGACATCTTCAAAAAATTTCTTTAACAGTGAGTTATTCAACTCTTTATTCTAATACTCTTCAGCTTTTCTGAAAATTTAATAATTAAACTTCTTAATAAGTAAAAGTTCTCTAAATACCTATAACTTTGTGAGAGAATAATATAATCAACACTTTTACTTTAATCAAATGAATTTATATGTTTAATCTTATCAACCAGAATCTTAATCATTATAAACAATCTCTTATTTCAAGTAAAACAATACCATGGGAATTAAAATTCTGTAATAACATCATGATTGTTATTTTTCATATTTCAGGTTAACAAATCACGAATGGTTGGTAGAAATCCATATCAAAGAAGAAGAAGATATGCAAAAAAAAATTCCCAATGATTTGAAATTTGTTGAGTTACATGGTTGCATATGTACAAGAAATGCAATTGAATTTGCTAGACATTTGTTGAGGAAAGTGAATTCACTTAAGAAAATCACTTTCAGCTCTAATTTAGGTGATGAAAGATGGACTAAGGAAGATCGTAATTTTATTCAAGAAAGTCTTGAAGATGAAGTAAAAAGAAAATGTCAACTTATAATTTTATAGTCTTATAACATTCACACTCGTCATATCCACTTGGATTATTTAAATGGATTTTACTAATATCTTACTATGTTCCTCTATCTTGGATGCACTTGTTTTGTTCCTCTATCTTGGATGCACTTGTTGTAATACAAAATAAAACATCTTATTATGTTTCTCGATCGTGGATGCACTTGTTGTAATCCATCCTTTATCGTGGAAGCACTTATCAACTATGTTTTATTAAATATTAGTCCAAATCAATTTTATAATAATCTGCAACTTATATAACATTGATAGTTAAGTATGGAAATTTTTAAGAACTATAATTGTATACATGAAGTTTTTGCTAATAAATTATTATTAATTTCATTGTTTCATTTCAAAAAAAAAAAAAAAATGCTCAACGTATCCTGCAACCAATAATATCAAAGGTTAGAATTGAAGCTTAATGATCCAACAACTATAACACAACACAACATATGATTTTTGATGAAAACCTTCCTAATATATTTCTAAACCTATACTATGACCTCCAAAAAAAAAAATACTCTAGCTCCACCACTCTTGACAATTACTTAAAAAACGTTTGAAAGTATAACAACGATTGAGATAAGAATTTAACAATTGAAATAAAAATTTAATAAATAGACTTCAAGTGATATCATATCCAGATTCTGTCCTCATCAAAATTCACCGCAGTCTGGTTTGTTTTCGCACAGAAAGAATTCAAGTGAAATACAGTTTGTAGTAAATATCAATAGTTTTTGGAGCTCTTTAATGAATACAGTACTAAATAGGGTTTTCTTTTTACTCCACGACGTATTCGCAGCAATATATTAAAAAAATTGTAAAAATATACTAAAATTTTGTTATAAATGAAACTGATGCTACTTTTGTCCTAGGTAAATAATGTTCTCTATCTCAGTTGTTCTAATGTCCCTAATGTATGACTACCAATAATCTCCACAAGTACATTTTCCATCCTCAAATCGATGAAACCGATTATTGTCTCTCACAATGATTACCCTTCCAGTGCATTTACTAATAAACTTGATTGCAGTGTGACAATCACCACAAACTCTCAAATTCTTCATCACTCTAATTGGTTGTCCCTTAGGGAAAGTGATAAGTCTAAATGCAATAGCTAATCTCTCACTATGATACCTAATAGTTTTATTCTTCTCCTCACCACCCACTTCTTTTAACACAAAAGAAGTATCAGCAACATAACCAGCTTTATCCATTTCTTCTCCCAACTTCTCCAACTTCTTGTAAATTTCAACTGTCTTCGCATGAGGCATATCCCCGACAGCAAATGTGTGAACTCTATTCCCTTCTTCCACCCAACTCAACCCAGTTTCCTTCTTTATTCCATAGTCTCTCATTGTCTTCCTCGCTTTCGCCGCTTCCTCCCATCTCCCAGCAGCAGCATAAGCATTCGAGAGCATAACAAGAAGTCCAGAACTCACAGAACCCATCTGAGAAACTCTATCCGCAACATAAGATGCCAATTCAGGAATCCCATGTAATCTACATCCAGTTAACAAAGCCCCCTATTATGCTTTACACATGGAAGCCATTGAAGAGTGGTAAGAGAGCTCAAAGTAAAGAGCAAGAAGATAAAATGCAGTGAGTAAGAATCTCTTATACAATGAAAGAAGATTACACCAGTTATATAGTAGGAGGAAAGAGCAACTAACTATATAACAAAGTGTAACTAACTATATTCTATTTGTGTCATCTATTAGCCCCCCACAAGTTGAACTTTGGTAAATGTTGATCAAGTTCAACTTGGCTTTGAGGAAGTGAAATGGTTTGGGTAGGAGAGGTTTAGTGAAAAAATCAGCATGTTGGTTGTTGGAGGACACCGGAAGGAGTTTCATCATGCCTTCTGAAAATTTCTCGCGTACAATGTGACAATCAATGTCAAGATGTTTCGTACGTTCATGGAAAACAGGGTTAGTAGCTATGTGGAGTGCGCTTTGACTGTCACAAAAGAGAACTGGGACTTGAGAGCATGCAATTTTCATGTCACGAAGTAAGTACAAAAGCCATTGGAGTTCACACGTGGTTGCAGCTAAAGCACGATACTCTGCCTCTGAAGAGGAACGAGAAACAGTGGTTTGTTTCTTTGTTCTCCATGAAATAAGGGAGCTGCCCAAATAAAAACATGATCCGGAAACAGACTTACGTGTGTCTATACAACCAGCATGCTGATTTTTTCACTAACTATATAACAGAAAGTGTAAGAGAGCTCAAAGTAAAGAGCAAGAAGATAAAATGCAGTGAGTAAGAATCTCTTATACAATGAAAGAAGATTACACCAGTTATATAGTAGGAGGAAAGAGCAACTAACTATATAACAGAAAGTGTAACTAACTATATTCTATTTGTGTCATCTATTACCCCCAAACAGATTCAGTAGGTTCCATAGGCATTTCCTCAATCATCTTAACTGCATCATTTAACTTCCCAGTGCGACCAAACAAATCAACCATGGTCGAATAATGTTGTGTCCCGGGTTCGATACCATAATACTTCATCAACTCAAAGTAATACTTACCCTTCTCTACCAACCCTGCATGGCTGCACGCATAAAGCACACACAAAAAGCAATCAACATAGCATCCCACGTACCAGCTTCCCCATCTGAAGCAAAGTAGAACCACCACAAATCCGTAAAACACTCGACAACGTAAAATCATTAACACCATCATCTTCTTTAACAAGAAACCGTCTAAAAAGCCTCAAAGCTTCATCATCCTCACGCAATTGAACATACCCATAAGTCAACCCACTCCAAGAAACAACATTTCTGTGCGGCATTTCATCAAACAGGTTATGCGCAAAACCAATATCTCCACATTTAGCATACATATCAATAATAGAACTCCGCACAAAAAGATCAACGGGTAGCGACGATAGAATCCCGCATGATTTGGTGGCGCTAGGGAAAATATGGTCTTCTGGATGTAAACCATGCATGAGACCGAAGAAATCCAGAGAAACTAAAAGCAGCTCGTTTTGAGCAAATGAAGAGATGATTGAACTCCATGTGGTGGCGGATTTGTGAGGGGAATCGTTGAAGATTTGAAGAGAGGAATAAGGAAGATGGGTTTTGGAGTAGAAATTGATGAGGTGATGAGAGAGAAGAGGAATCGTTTGTAAACCTAAGTTGAGAGCATGTTAGATACAGAAGAGTGTTGCAAATGTTTCTATACAAAGGTTGTTGAAGTTGAGAATCAACCATTAGTTTGTTAGATTTGGCATCAAAGTTAGTCTGTTCCGAAAACAACGTTTTTTTAGTTTTGTAATTCAATGTAACCGTTTTCATTGTTGCATATATAGTGGACCCGGCCCATAAAAACCATAATTCTATAAAAGGTTGAATCCTATTGCTCATTATTAATTTTCTTCTCCAACCGTTTTATAATGAAGAGTTGTAAAAATCTCAACGCTGAGTTACCTAATTGTCTTTTATCAGTGATCTTTTCCAAGTTAACTTTGAAGGATTTGGTTAAAACTAGCGCATTGTCGAAACACTGGCGACATGAATTGGGATTCACGATGAAGAATATTAAGGATCTCAATTTTGATACATATAACACGTTTGATTATAATCAGCTTCAAGAGTCACAAGAACAAGTTCAACTACAGACTCATTCTCAATTTGCCACAGGAATGGAACAAATAATGTTATACTATGAAGATGCTATGATTAATTCTGTTCGAGTAAAATTTCCATTGGGTGAACAACATAGTGATGTCATTGATAAATTGATTTCTCAAGGAGTTGCTAACGGCGTCAAACGTATTGAACTCTTGTTTTCGCATGGAACTAATGATATTGATTTAATTTTGGAAATAAAGCCTTATATATTTTCCTTTAGTCTTTTATTTAACACTGATTCTCTAATGTATCTACATCTAGAGAATTGCTTTCTAGTAGCACCTATGGGATTCTCTGGATTGAAGAATTTGAGAATTCTTATATTGCATCTCATTGTTGTGGAGAAGAAACTACTTCAAGGTTTGATTTCTAACTGCGTTTGTCTCGAAGACTTCACCGTTGATGACTGTGATTTCAATTCTAAATTGAAAATCATTAGTCCAACATTGTCTCATTTGAAAATTCTTAATTGTCGCACTGAGTTTATGACTGCCATTGATATCATTGCACCAAATCTATCATCCCTTGAATATTCTTGTAAGGGTAATAGAGTACACCCAATCAACCTTCAGGTTCAAATGTTATCGCGGTTTAGCTATAGGTGTAGCCAAATTATTGGATTTATTCCGTTGGAGAGATTGAAAAATGTGACAACAATTGTGTTGGATGGACTTGATGAATGTCTCCAATCTTTTATCATACTGAATTTGTTTAAAGAATGTCTCCAACTTGAGGACGTCACCTTTAAAAACTGCTCTATTACAAATTTAATAGAAATTACCAGTTCAAAGTTATGTCACTTGAAGATAATTCATTGTTGTTTTGGGGATTTTGCTCCTTATAAGATTTCCGTTAACGCAATGAACCTCTCATCCTTTGAATTTATTGGTCACACAACGAGTAAATTTTCGGTTATGGCACCAAAGTTATCAAAGGTTTTTTGGAGTGCAGCTATAAGAGAGAATAATCAAAATGAATTTGGTCCAATCCCAAAATTACATCAAATTGAAAATCTAGCTATACTCATGAATTATTCACAGGTGAGTCATTCAAAATTATATAACTTCATAGATTTCTTGTAAATGATTGAGTCACTAATTGCTTTTAATTTACTTTAATATTACTCGTCTATGAAGGCAGTAAAATTAACGAAGGTCTTGGATCAACTTCAAAATCTCAGACAACTGGAGTTATTTATCAACCAACCATATGATTATAATATGGAATACTTTTCTATTTTTGATATTTTAATGGCTGCTCGGCATCTTCAAAAATTTTCTTTGACGGTGAGTTACTCAACTCTTTATTATAACATTCTTCGATTTTTCTGAAAATTTAGTAATATTAAACTTCTTAATGAATAATAGTTCTCTAAATAGTTATAACTTTGGGAGAAAATAATATAATCGACGCTTTTACTCTAATCACATGAATTTATTAGTTTAATCTTATAGAACAGAACTTTAATAATTATAAACATTCTCTTATTTCAAGTAAAACAATATCATGGAATTTAAATTTTTTTGTATAATAACATCATGATTGTTATTTTTTATATTTCAGGTTAGAAGATCAGTAATGGTTGGTAGAAACATAGATCAAAAAAGAAGAAAATATGCAACTTTTTTTCACAATGATTTGAAATTTATTGAGTTACATGGTTGCGTGTGTACAAAAAATGCAATTGAGTTTGCTAGACATTTGTTGAGAAATGTGAATTCACTTAAGAAAATTACTTTCAGCTCTAATGACAGTTACTATTTAGGTGCTGGAAGATGGACTAAGAGCACAAACAATAATTGGTTTTATCGTAACTTTATTCAAAAGAGTCTTGAAGATGAAGTAAAAGGAAAATGTCAACTTATAATTTTGTAGCCTTATTTTATTATAGTGAATTTTGTAACGTTGTCACAACAATGTATTTTATTTAGATGTTCAACGATTGATTTTTGAGTGCGGATGTTCAATCTGTATTTTCTTATTTATGAGATTGTTTGTATAATTAGGCTAATGCTCTTTCAAATTAATATTTTTTTATTTATGAAAATGGTCTTTAATATGTAGTTTTTATAGCACTTACATTTATCATACTCAATTAAAATTTTTAAATAACTCAACTACATTTTTTAAATATCAATACAACCTATAAAAATTCTAAAATGCATCTTCAACAAGTGGCGGATTTATTTGAGAGCGGGAGAGTGCAAAGGCACCCCCTCAACTTTTTTTAATTTTTTTCTCTTAAATATACTTATGGTATTCAAATATATAAAAACAGAAGTGAAATAAGGGAGAGAGTGATGAAAAACTCTAAATCATAGTGTTAGGAAGGCCATTAAAAACAAGAAAGTATGTTATGATTCAAAGAAAAAGAAAAACAGAGTAAAAAGGAGAAAAGATAATGTGAGGTGGCTAATAGAAAAGCTGATTGGAAAAGATAAAAAGAAAAATTAGGGTTAGTTTATAATAATGAGTAAATGGGCTTGTACATTTATTCTAACCCAATATTTTTGGACTAATAGACTAACATTATTTAAAATAAAACTCTTTCAATAAAAGAAAATATATTTCTTTTTTATTGCTTATTTTTTAATTGTCTTGTTTTCTAAAATAAAGTCTTTATTTTTCTTATTACTATTTTTTATCACTACTTACTATTATTATTTATATGTTTTTAAGTTTTTAGCCTTTTTGTATTAAATTTGATCCTTTTTTTGTTTTGGAAATAAAAGAATTTTATTTAAAACCAAAAATAATACAAGTAAGGCGATGAAAGATACAGCCGCAAAACAAAGCCTAAGGCAACATAAGCCTAGTTACACAAGGTCTCAAGTTAGATTTCATCCAACATCTATACATAACATTCTCCACTATCTTAGTCCTAATACAAGAAATATCACTCTTAGCTCCAAAACATATTTGGTTTCTAAACCTCAACAATTCATAAACAGATTATGTAAAAGTCACCTTAGAGAATAATAGTTGTGTGCCCCTTTCTCTTATTGCACTTAATGACCCAATTAATCTCTTCATTCCACCCCTGGGGTTGATGATCACAATAGATCCACTGAAGAACATAGCGCCCAACAGATGCTACACTATTACATTTAAAAAACAAATGATTTAATGATTGTTGCTCACTACAAAAGCAACAAATGTTATTATCAATTAAGAAAAACTTGTGGAGCCTCTCTTTGGTAGCAAGGCTATTGTGGCAAGCCATCCACAAGGTAAACTTTACATGCGGTCGAGCAAAATTGTTAAAGAAAATACTCTCCAACGGACCTCAGGACTGTGAATTTTCAGCTCCTTGTACACCTTTTTAGAGTCAAAATTCCCTTGGTGTACCATGTTGTCCCATATTTGTAAGCTAGTTGCAACCTGTCTGCACTGCAGAATGGCTTTGATAATCCAGGACCATTGGGCTTTAACAGGCATGTTCATGATTGGTTCCTTTTTCGTATAATAAATGTGTATCCACTTCACCCAAAGACTATCTTCTTTACAGTAAAGGTTCCATAACAACTTAAGAATATTCAGCGTCCTCCACGTATTCAAACAAAGAATGTTCAAGCCACCTTAATTCTTCAGTTTACAAGTGTTATCCCAAGTTGTCATACCTCAAATTTGCCCTACTAGTTCTTGATATTTTTTATTTTCATTTCCAAAAATTATTTTTTATAAAAAATTATTCATATAATTATGGGGGTTTAAAGTTTATAAAAAGGGTGTATCTTGTAAAGAAATTATGGGCCTTTCTCAATCAGAAAGGGCTCGTGTAATTGTTTTAGTCCATTTTAAATACTGATGAGAGGGTGTATAAAGAAATTCATTTTTTATTTGTTAAAGCCCAATAAACAGAAATGATATGGCCCGATTAGTTTTTTTTTGTTTTAAAGAATTGTTTTGTTTTAAAATATAACATTATTATCATTGTTATTTTTTTATTACTTTTATTAATTGTTGTTATTATTATTATTATTATTATTATTATTATTATTATTATTATTATTATTATTATTATTATTATTATTATTGATTATTATTAGTATCATTATATTATTGTTAACATTATTGTTATTGAAACTATATCTATTATGTTATTTTAAAAACAACGTCTACCTAGAAGCACAAAAAAAACTTGAGGCCCAATTGTACAATCAGAAGCACATCGCAACCAAGCAAGCTCAAAACAATAAAAAAAACATGGTCCAAATCGGAAACACCTATTGTACGAATCATTAAGGAAAACACATGTGTTGTACCCCAATTTCCCCCCTAAGATCCCTTCATCATAGCATATTGATTCAATCACAACAAGGTTACATTAGGGCTTTTGGTTCTCCTCCCTATCTTTAGCTTTGCTCTTTGAGGAATCACCAAGCACCTTAATTTGTTTTTATTTTATGATCATGCATGTTTTGTTTTGATTTTCCTTTTAATTAATAAAATGCAATGTTGGTTTGTTTTACTTGTTAATAATGTAGGTAAAGGCAATGTAGCTTAGCAAGTTGATCCATGGGTTCATGAGTTTATTTCCATGCCCTGGTCAATAAAGCTTGAGAAGTTCAAACATCACTATTGAAGTTATTTTTGAAGAAATAGCATGACAAGGTTTATCTTGGTTCACCATATTTCAAAGTTATCAAGATTGATTCAAAAGTACAAGGGGATTGATTGAAGAAATTGTCATGTTTGGACAAAGCCTTTTTCCCATTGGTCACAAGTGTATATTTGTCTCAATTCTCAAGATATGGAAGTGGTTTTGGTGGCTATGAGTTCTATTTATCATCCTTAATAACTTCTATCTACAAAGCAAAAGTGTTGGTACAAGAAGGTTGTTCAAAATTATCAAAGTTCCTCAAAGCATTTTCTTGATCTAGGAGCTAGGATTTTGAACTTCAAAGAAGTATATCTTGCTCATCTTTTGGTATTTTTGAGTGATTCCAAAGACATCCTTCTCTTAAAAGGGTTATTAACAAATAACTTCAAAAGTTTAAAGGAGTTTTCATGTGGAAGAAACTTGATGACGAAGGAAGATTACAAGTCCTCCAGATAAACCCCCAATTTCTCATGTGTGACTTCAAATGATCATAACTTGGTCAATTTTTATCATCCTGAGCCTACTCTTTTTCCACAATGATCTTGAGGATATTAAATTTATTCCTTCTTTTATGTGCAAAGTGATAAAATGGATAAAATATTCCCTAAGGATACAAAAGATTATAGGTCATTTCATGATTTTTTACCAACTTCAACAATTCATAACTCTCTCAATTTTTGGAGATTTTGAATGGTTCGAGTTTCAAAATGTCATTCAAGAGGTCTATTTCATGCCATATTTTTTGGTCAAGAGCAAATTCCAAGAGGAAGGCCATGTTTAGATGCAAAACATTATAGGTCACTTTTGAAGAAAAACTTGAAATATTTCTAAGTATGGAAAGTCATCCTCTTTTTCTCAACTTGGACTCATTGCAACTTTCAGATCAAACATCCATTTGATTCCATTATTTTCCCATTACAAAGCTTGTAAACTCATCTTTCTAAAGCATCAAGAACCATACCTTAAGACCCCTTGAGCTGAGAATGCCATTGTTTCAAAAGTGGTAACTTGGAATTGAAGTTTCATCGTAAGTTAGAATTTGAATTTCATGTTACAACTTCTAACCCTCAAATTAGCACATGTTTTGGGTCTAAACATGATTATCCAACTTTCCCAAGTGGATTAGTGCATTAAAAAGCGCATTTTGGATGAGTTTTGACAAAAGAGAAGTCACACTTTCTTCATGATGTAGGCCCACACGAATTCCCTCCAAATTGCATCAGTCATCCTTCTTTTTGATCCCATTTCCTTCTCCTATAAATACATGAGCTATCCCATTCGTTTTCTCAAGCTTGAACAGCCAAAATCATCCTGCCAAACTCGCTTCTTAACTCACTTTTCTGCAACTTCGAAATCATTGTTCAAGCCTTTTCAATCCATTTTTTCTATCAATTCACCTTCCTTGATCTTCCCTGAAGCTAACAGAAGAAGAATTGAGCCTTGAAACCTTCTGAATTGATCTGACCAGGTCAATTTACAGAGCTCTGCAACTGAACTTCAATAGGTAGATTTCTCCATCAATTCTTCCAAACTTTGATATCATTATGAAGCTCTCATTGCTCTGGTTCTAGTCGCAACACTTTCTTTTAACCGGAAACACGTTTTGGCCATGAATTTTTAAATTCCTTTTCAAAACTTTCCTTCCAAATTGCTTGAGCTATAGTTTATATAAATTTTTCGTGAAGGTGTGGTTGTCTCCGTCTTGATGAGATTAAGCGAATGGTACCGGTCTCGTGCTCTAATTTTACTATTTGAGCAATCTCGATTTGAGACTGGCTGGAGGTTGAAGATGACCAACGTGTCATCCTTCAACCAATGAAACAATGCCATTTGGAAATTTTGAATATCTGATTTAATTAATGATCATGTGTGTTAATCACTAATGACCATGATATGCACAACGCGTCTGATCCATTGTGTGATATGGTGGCAGAACCGACTGTTTTGGAAAATGCTGGTTTGCATTTTGCGTTTGTGTTTGCAAAATGTCGCGGTAAGCAAGAGTCACCACCAACTTTTATTTTATCCAACTGGAAAGGAAAAAAGCACAGAAAAATTCCTTTTTCGAGATTTTGAGTACAGGGGGTAGATTATAGAAAGGGAAGGTGTTAGCACCCTTTCTATCCGTAGTTATCTACGGGCTCTTAGGTACTTGCTCATCTTTTAAAATTGCTTGCGTGTGTTCATTTTGAAAAGTTTTGTTTTACTTTGTTTTAACCCTTGTATCAGTCCTCAAGAGTGTTACGAAGTGTTTTGAAAACTTAGTTTGAAA